AGTGGGGAGACGTGGAGGAGGACGAGGTGGAGTAGGGAATAGGGGGGTGCAAGAGAAAGGTTAGCTAAGCCGGACCGTAGATGTGTATGACTGTGTTGCTTGATGTACCATAGTATTGACTCGTTCCATGCCTTCACATCGTGTCTAGTGTGGATCCAAGTGCAGTATTAATTCTAAACTGTTGGGCAATGGTTTCTTTAACAGAATCCCCTCCCCTAGGGGAAGGGGGGGGTCCTTATACTGATTATAGGCTTAGGGGGGGTCCTCTCACATATGCTACATATTAAGAGTCCCAGTACCGTTCAAAAGTCCCGGGGGTCTTTTTTTCGGGAGGGTCCTATATCCGGGAGAATACGGGTGATAACCGTTTTGCTGTTGCTGTTGCGGTTCGATACAGTGACGACTCGGGCAACTGCTCAATAGCGAGTCAGTTGTTTGTCCTTGCTGTCGTGCTGTATTTGTCAGGTCAAAAGTCGCTGACCTTTGACTTTCGCATAACCTCCAGCAGTTGTTCAACCTCCGAGGGTTGACTCGCTAATGCTTCGATATGTTTCGCTTCGCTTTTGACTTGGTGTTTCGACACGACAGAGGCGCTAAATCAATTGTTTCCAACACTAACGGGATCGATGGGATTAACTGCTGCAACGAAGAGCGGGTTTTGACGGGATTGATCCGAACGAGTTTGTGATGAATGAATCAAGACGGAAAACCATGACAGCTCCAATTAACCATATTAATTTCAAACAAACTCGAACACAAGAGGAAACCGCATAATTTACACACAAGGTAAGGAGAGGCGAGCTGGGAGTGTTTGGGGTTTCCTGTGCTAGAGGGGCACTTGCATTGGGTGTACACACTTTCGTACCCCCACATAATATCCCCGACCCGCTAACCAACCCACAAAATGTACACCCTGGACTCCTTTGTTTCGTGCCAGATGAACTGCAGGAGGCGGCATCTTTGAGGCAATTCTTAGTGGCGTCACAGAAGCTCCAGGGCAACGATGGTACCGAGCCAGAGAGGAAGTTGCCGGTGAGTGTGAGTTTGGCGAGCGTGGTTGAGGTGGGTGCAGGGATGGAGCCTGTGAGGTAGTTACAGCCAACGGTTCTGTGGGGAGAGAGACAGGGAAGAGGAAGGGGGAAGGGAAAGAGTAGGGAAAGAGAGAGGGAAACGGGGAGTGTTGGGTGAGCGCGAGATTGGAGGGAGTGGTTGAGGCAGTTTGGTTATGTTTTCTGTGACGTGGTTGCATCCCAGAGCTCTTTTAAGGTGCCTCCAAAGTGGTTGGGGCAGTTTGATTATTGTTTTTGAGACGTCTCAAAAGGTTTCTGTGACGTGGTTGCGTTCCAGAGATCTGCCGGGAGAGAAGAGAGAGAGGAGAGCGGAAAGAGAGAAGGGAAGAGAAGGTAAAGGGGGAGGACAGAGGAAGTTGTGGGTGGGTGCGAGCTTGGCGGGAGTAGTTGAGGCAGGTTTGGGGTTTGGGCAGAGGGCTTTGTGCGAAGAGAGAGGGTGAGGGGAGGGGAGGGAGAAGAGAAACGGAGAAGGGAAGAGAGAAGGGAAAGGGAACCAGTGAGGTAAATGGTGGGAAAGGGAGTGGGGACAAAAGAGAGAAAGAACCATGGGGGGTTTACAGCCTGGCGAGGAGGGGAAGAGGAAGCAAGCAGGGAGGTGTGTCAAAGTTAAAGTGAACCACGCAAAGAGCAATACATAGAGAGAGGGACTGCTTGTCAGGTTGGGGAGATGGAGTAAGAGGGCAGGCAGGCAATTGAGTGGGTGGGAGCTGTAGAGAAGCACAGAAAGAGAGCGCCTCACAGAGGGAGAGGGTCTTACAGGCTGGTGAGGCTGGGGAGATTGAGCAGGTAGGCAGGCAGTGTGCCGTAAAACCAGTTGTATTGCAGGTCACTGCAGGGTGGGGTGGCAGGGTGGGTGGGAGGGTGAAAGGCACACAATCAATACGCGCCATTAGAAGAGAGAGACCCGCACAGAAAGTGATTCACAGCAGCATGAGTTTGCGGCGCAGACGCAAAAGGGCACTCATGGGACGACGAGGTCGGAGAGACGACTTTTGAGGTGCCTCAAAAGCAGACACAGAGGAGCACTCACAGCACGATGAGGTTGGAGAGAGAGGAGAAGTGGGAGACAAAGGAGTGAAGTGGCGTCCAGAATAGGTTGCTGTCGAAGGTTCTGATAAGATGGGGGGGTGGGTGGGGAGGTTGGGGGGGGGGGGTCAAAAGTGAGAGGTGGAGAGGGGAGTGGGAGAAAGGCAGAGGGAGGGGGGTGGGGAGGAGGCGTATCAAGGTCGCTTGGGGAATTCTCGAAAGGGAGGTAGAGGGGGCCGATTGAGGCAAGGCTGGCAAAAGAAGACAGAGGAAGACGAAGTGCATGGCACGACACAGCATGGCATGGCAGGGCACGGCATGGCAGGGCATGGCATGGCATGGCAGGGCATGGCATGCATGCGATGGCATGGCATGGCATGCACGGGATGGCATGGCAGAGTGTTATGAGTTGATGTTCAACGCATCAGATGCATGCGGCGTGATGGAGGTAGTGCATGGCGGGTCTCCTTGTCAGAGAGCATGTATGCATGCATGGTTGGCATGGCGGGCACACGACATTGCATGGCTTGGAATGGTAAGGCATGGCATGGAATGACATGGCATGACATGGCATGTTGTGGGGCAGACGGACGAACAGGCGAGTGAGCGATGTGAGAGTGCTGACATCCGAGGCCATGGACCCCTTGAGCTTCTGACTCGTTAAATCACTGAGGAGAGAGTGTGGCATGGGGTATGGGGCGTGGGGCATGGGACATGGGGCACGCGGAGAATGGCAGCACAGAGGACGGGCCATGTGAGAGTGCTGACATCCGAGGCCATGGACCCCTTGAGCTTCTGGCTCGTTAAATCACTGTTTCAGGGAAAGGGGCGGCATGGGGCATGGGGGTACGGGGCATGGGATGGGACATGGGGCACAAGCTATGAGTGGACGGGAAAGAAGTTAGCTGTCACAGGCTCCAGGCATGTAGTGTGAGCAACACACATGCAGAGTATGTTTTCGAGTCGACTCAAAAACAGGTTCCAGGCACATGCAGAGGTACTCCTGAACACGTTCCTGGGTCAACCGAGTCAAGCGAGACAAATGAGACAACCGAGTCAAGTGAGACAACCGAGTCAAGTGAGACAACCGAGTCAAGTGAGACAACCGAGTCAAGTGAGACAACCGAGTCAAGTGAGACAACCGAGTCAAGTGAGACAACCGAGTCAACCAAGTCAACCGAGTCAAGTGAGACAACTGAGGAAACCAAGTCAAGCAAGACAGCCAATGAAGTTTAACCGAGTCAAGCGAGTCAACTCACATGGAGAGGACGTTCCCGAGGGAGTCGCAGGCCACACCGGGCCAGTCAGGGCCCGAGGTACATCCCTCCACCGTGCACGCCCCACTGCCCCATGCCATGGAGGTCAACCCCAACGTGCTCTTGAGCGCCAGAAGAGCCGCCACTGGAAGGATAAGAGGAGCGGAAGAAAGGAATGGGAAGGGGGTAGCATAGAGATGGGGAGGGTGGGAATGCATGGGAGGGGGGGGATTACAGGAAATGCAAGGGAGGGATTACAGGGAATGGTTTAAGCAAATAAATGGGAGGGGGAGAGTGGAGAGCAGAGCAAGGCAGGCGATTCATCTCATGGGTTTGATCCATCACGTGCTATAAAAAGCGTTTCATCTCACAAGCTATTGATCTCTAATGCTCTTATCTCACACTCACACATCTCAACTTTCAGCTATCCAATCACTCTCACCTGTGGCATCTGTCATGGAGGTTTGTGTATTGCCTGCTTGCGGCAGAACGAAGGACGGGGATGGAATGGGAGGGGTGTGGAAGAGCAGGGGTGAGGGAATGAAATGATGGAGATGGGGAGAGCAGGAAGAATGGCAGACAACCAATCTTGAAAAAAATGCTGGTAAAGCTCAGCCGCTAACCACTGAGTTAAAAGGGATTGTTCCACAGCAGATGAACGCGCAAAAAAAATCCGGATGCCATCGCAGCGCGTCACCCTTTTTCAGGACCTTAGGGCGATTTTAGTGCTCCTCCAACAACCCAGCCACACTAAAGTAAGCTTCAGGACCACAAACACCTTCCATTGTGCACACTGGGAATCGAAACCAATACCTTTGCTCTGATACCATGCTGTCAAAGCTCCACCGCTAACCATTGATTCGTAAGGGCTTGTTCCATAGCGGGGGAGCTCGGCCATATTCCTCCCCGACCATCTTTGCCCGTAACCCTTCTGCAGGACCCTAGTGTTCCTCCAACACAGACAGAGCACGCACAGCACACGCACCTGAGCACTGCATATCCAGCACGGCTTGAGCCGGCCCGTTGGGCCCGGCCCGGGCCACCACTGGGGCCACAGACACAACGCAGTCCCCATCATAGCATAAGCTTGCTTCTGCCGCCGTCCCCATCCCGCACACGGCACACCGCTCTGTTGCCGTCGCTGCTGCTGCTCCCACTACTGCTGCAGGGCGTTGGGTGGAGCCGAAGCGAGCACACGGGGCGGCGGCGGCGGGGACAAGACAGTTGTGTTCGGCCGCGCAGTGAGAGAGGGAGGAAGGGAGGGTGGGGAGCGAGCCGGATAGGAAGTTGTAGGCTATGTCGAGGGCAAGAAGTGAGGAGGGAAGTGAGGGGAGCGAGCCGGTGAGGTAGTTGGAGAAGAAGGACCTGGTGCGGGGTGGCGGGGAGTGGTGGAGAGTGGTACAGAACGGTAAAGGAGGAAAGGGAAGGGTTGAGAAGGAGCAAAGAACACTGCGTCGGTCCTTTAGGTAGGTGATGGAAAGGGGAGGCCATGAAAAGAGGGATAGCGTGCGTGACGTGACATGACTTGACTTGAGTTGAGTTGGCACTGAAGTGGGATGGTGTGCATGAGGTGACCCATATTCTTGAGTTGGGTTGACTCAAGAAGCAAGATAGGATAGCGTGCGTGGCATGACGTGACGTGACTCACAGGCCGGTCAGTTTGGTGAGCTCAGAGATGGTGGTGGGGACTGAGCCATAGAACCAGTTGTAACCGAGAAGCCTATGGGCAGGGTCAGGGTGAAGGGCGAAGGAACAGGGGAGGAGCCACTTTGAAGACTCTCAAAAGGAGCAGGGAGGATTAGGGCGAATTGAGTGGGTGCTACACCAATGATCACTGTATGGGTGCTACACCAATGATCACTGTATGGGTGCAACACCAATGATCACTGTATGGGTGCTACACCAATGATCACTGTATGGGTGCGCGAAACAAGGAGAAGCAAGGAGCTGCAAGAAAGACTGAAGACAGATTTCAAACTTTTAAAGCAGATGTCAAAACATACAGCTGCTGGAGCGAAGTGAGCGAGACCATGTCAGAGAGAAAGCCGTCCAGCTGCTGGTTGAAGAGGTTGGAGCTCAGGTCCCTGTGTAGAGGGAAAAAACAAGGGAGAGAGCAGGAAGCGCATGGAATAAACGCTCCTCAAGGCGTCTTAACGAGAGACAGCCCTCCAGCTGCAGGTTGAAGAGGTTGGAGCTCAGGTCCCTGTGTGGAGGGAAAAAACAAGGGTGAGAGCAGGAAGCGCATGGCATAGACGCTCCTCAAGGCGTCTTAACGAGAGACAGCCCTCCAGCTGCAGGTTGAAGAGGTTGGAGCTCAGGTCCCTGTGTGGAGGGAAAAAACAAGGGAGAGAGCAGGAAGCGCATGGAATAGACGCTCCTCAAGGCGTCTTAACGAGAGACAGCCCTCCAGCTGCAGGTTGAAGAGGTTGGAGCTCAGGTCCCTGTGTGGAGGGAAAAAACAAGGGAGAGAGCAGGAAGCGCATGGAATAGACGCTCCTCAAGGCGTCTTAACGAGAGACAGCCCTCCAGCTGCAGGTTGAAGAGGTTGGAGCTCAGTTGCCGCGTGATGGGGGTGATGTTATGGGGGTGATGGGGGTGATGGGGGTGATGTGATGTGATGGGGGTGATGTGATGTGATGGGGGTGATGGGGGTGATGGGGGTGATGGGGGTGATGTGATATGATGGGGGTGATGGGGGTGATGTGATGTGATGGGGGTGATGGGGGTGATGTGATGTGATGGGGGTGGGGGGGATTAATATCAGAGGCGTCTCATCAAGAGAAAGGCCTCTAATTGCTGGTTGAAGTGATTGGAGCTCAGGTCGCTGCGTGTTGGGGGGCGATGGAAGAGGAAAGGGAAGGATAGGACGGAAATACTCGCTTCCTGTGGTGCCTCAAGAGAGAAAGCTGAGACTTGTTGAAGAGGTGTGGTGGAGGGGAGGAGATGGATGGATGGATGGATGGATGGATGGATGGATGGATGGATGGATGGATGGATGGATGGATGGATGGATGGATGGATGGATGGATGGATGCATGGATGGATGGATGGATGGATGGATGGATGGATGGATGGATGGATGGATGGATGGATGGATGGATGGATGGATGGATGGATGGATGGATGGATGGATGGATGGATGGATGGATGGGTGGATGGATGGATGGAAGTTAGAAAGCGATGCAAGGAACCGTGGCACTGGAGGAGTGGGGGGTATGCACATGGAGAGACACGCAAGGATGCAAGCACACGGCAACAAAGGTGGTGGGAAGTGGGAAGCGGAAGGTGGGCACTGGTGAGGTGACGTGGGGAAGTGGTGAGGGAACATGTCGAGAGGGAGTGACAAGGCCATACAGGGAGGTGAGGGTTGGGAGTGCAGCGATGGATGAGGGGAGCGATCCAGAGAGGCCTTGTGTTCGCAGAGTGCTGTTGAGGGGGAAATTGGGGGGGGGGAGTGGGGGGGAAAGGGGAGGGACGCAGGGGAGGGACGCAGGGGAGGGACGCAGGGGAGGGGACAGAACAAAGCAAAGGGAGAACACGAGAAGGGAGGGGAGAGATGGAGGAGTGGAGTGCAGTGATGAGTGAAGATGAAGCAGAGGAGAGGTGGAGGACAACGGGAAAAGGAAAACAGAGGATCAGATGCTACAGCCCACTCACATGCCTGCTACAGCCCACTCACATGCCTGCTACAGCCCACTCACATGCCTGTGACAGCCCACTCACATGCCTGCGACAGCCCACTACAGCCCACCACAGCCAACCACAGCCCGCCACAGCCCGCCACAGCCTGCCACAGCCCGCCACAGCCCGCCACAGCCCACCACAGCCCACCCCAGCCCACCCCAGCCCACCCCAGCCCACCCCAGCTCACCCCAGCCCACCCCAGCCCACCACAGCCCACCACAGCCCACCACAGCCCACCACAGCCCACCACAGCCCACCCCAGCCCACCCCAGCCCACCCCAGCCCACCCCAGCCCACCCCAGCCCACCACAGCCCACCACAGCCCACCCCAGCCCACCCCAGCCCACCCCAGCCCACCACAGCCCACCACAGCCCACCACAGCCCACCACAGCCCACCACAGCCCACCCCAGCCCACCCCAGCCCACCCCAGCCCACCACAGCCCATCACAGCCCACCACAGCCCACCACAGCCCACCCCAGCCCACCCCAGCCCACCCCAGCCCACCACAGCCCACCACAGCCCACCACAGCCCACCACAGCCCACCACAGCCCACCCCAGCCCACCCCAGCCCACACCAGCCCACCCCAGCCCACCCCAGCCCACTACAGGTCATGGCAGCCCACTCACATGCTTGTGACAGCCCCAGTGTCAGAGCATTTTACGCCAGCCCAGTAGTGTGAAGCCTGGGAAGCCTTTTCCCCCGTGCACTCCCCTATGCCCGCCCATGTGCTGTCTGTCACTCCTAGTGATGACTTGAGCGCCAGCAGGACGGACACTACATGGGAGGTGGGGTGTGAGGTGGGATGTGAAGACATGAGTTGAGAGGTTTGACTTGAAGCCTAAGCAAGCTGTGCACTCCCCTGTGCCCGCCCATGTGCTGTCTGTCACTCCTAGTGATGACTTGAGCGCCAGCAGGACGGACACTGCATGGGAGGTGGGGTGCGAGGAGGAAGGTGAGGAACCAAATGAACTTCGGACTATGCACTCCCCCCCTGCACTCTCCCAGTCACATCAAGTGTGCACCCTACCAGAACACCCCCCCCCCCCCCCCCCCCCCCCCCCCGCACATGCCCATACCATGAATGGCGGGGCCCGTCATTCCCCCCGTTCCCCACATCACACAGTCAGTCGGACTCACCGTGAGCTGGGAGAATCGTGACAGCCTCGCAGAACCGTGGCAGCAGCACAGCGCTCCCCCCGTTGGGCGAGGTCAACCCAGTCGTATCCGGCGTGCACCCTTCCAAATACCCCTGGCACATGCCGGTCGCCCAGGAGATTCCCCCGCAGAACACACAATTGGCAGAGGCCCGTTGCGTGGAGAGAGGGCAGGCAGTGGGGGGGCTCGTGAAGCAGTTGGTGTTGCAGACCGTGGTTGGGACACCGGAGGGGAAGGAGCCGGTGAGGAGATTCCGTTCTACGCTGAAGTACTGGAGAGATGCGGGGGGTGTTGGGACTGTGCCCACGAGGTAGTTGGAGAATAGACCTCTGCAGTGGGAGGGGGGAAGAGGAGGGGAGGATGTAGGGAAGAAGAGGGGAGGAGATTTCACTCCACGCTGAAGTATTGGAGAGAGGAGGGCGGTGTTGGGACCGTGCCTACAAGGTAGTTGGAAAAGAGACCCCTGCGGTGGGAGGGGGGGAGGGGGGAGGGGGGAGGAGGAAAGGAAGAGGAGGGGATTTGTTAGTCGACTAAAACCAGATCAGGGGGGGTGTTTGGACCGTGCTCACAAGGTAGGTAGTTGGAGCAGAGACCTCTGGCAGGGACACATGCAGGCAGAGGGGATGGCTTGACGGTGAATGCACTCACACCACACACACCCGTACACACACACGCACCCGTACACACCCCCGCAGGACGCAGAGAGTACCACGGAGATGGTACAGGTATGTTATGCACGCAAAGAACGTACGTACAGGTAGGTCAGGCGCGTGAGAGCGTGCTATGACGCGTCTGAAGCACGTACAGGTAGGTCAGGCGCGTGAGAGTGATGATCGATGTTGGGATGGTGCCGTAGAACCAGTTGGCACAGAATCGCCTGCAGAGAGGGGTGTAGAGAGGGGTGTAGAGGGGTGTAGAGAGGGGTGTAGAGAGGGGTGTAGAGAGGGGTGTAGAGAGGGGTGTAGAGAGGGGTGTAGAGAGGGGTGTAGAGAGGGGTGTAGAGAGGGGTGTAGAGAGGGGCACACAGCGGGGCGCACAGGCGGGTGCACGCAGGGGCGTACAGAGGAGCCATGGTGGTCAAAAGTCAAAAGTCGCGTGGCCATGGTGGTCGTCGTAGCCAGCCCAAGACTTACGCTAATCTAGAGTGCGAGAATACAAGAGAAAATTACAACTTGTTGCGGCAAAAGCAAGGCTCACATTTCCTTGAGTTGCGGCAAAAGCAAGGCTCACATTTCCTTGAGTTGCGGCATTTGCATGAGAGTGGCCGTCCATGGTGTGAAGCTGGCGTGCAGCAGGTTGTAGCAGAGATTGCTGCGGAGGGGAGGGAGAGGGGGAGAGGACATGCCTTTTTGAGGCGCCTCACAAGTGGCGGGCCATGGCGTGAAGCTGGCGTGCAGCAGGTTGTAGCAGAGATTGCTGGGGAAGGGGAGGGGCAGGGTGGGGTGGGGTGGAAGGAGAGGGGGAGAGATTTTGAGATGTCTCAAAAGCGGGCGTGCAGCAGGTTGTAGCAGAGATTGCTGTGGGGAGGGAGGAAGGGGGGAGGGTGGGGTGGGGGGGGTGTCGCCGAATATAATGGTAAGTGCATCATATTGGAGACATGTGCTAATTGGGTGTAGAAGTGGTGTAGCGAGTGCTATTCAATCTGCATGTGGGGTAGTTGGGTTATAGAGAGTAGCGAGAAGTTGGTAGCATTGGGGTTTACAGGGCGCTTCGGGGACAATTTCAGGAACCTCGGGAGACAGGCAATCTGGCGAGGGCCAATCCAAGGCCCAGGCGGCTCGAGCTCAACCCAGCACGCTGAGTTACTCGCGACTGGGCAGCCAAGCACAAATAGCCTAGCCTAGCATTGCAAACCCGTTCTCTCGTCTCGTCTTGTGGTAGTGGCTGTGTACGAAGAAGGGAGCAGGCAGCAGGAGTGGGGACAGCACAAGGTGGGGAAAGGCCAGAATAAGAAGGAAGGGAAGAAGGTGAGGATAGAAGACAGGGAAGAGGCAAGGGCAAGAGATGAGTGAGGAAGGAGAGGGGAGTAACTCCGACAGGGGAGGAGGAGGGAGTTTGAGATGAGATGCCTCAGAAAATGGCGTGCAGCAGGTTGTAGCAGAGACTTCTGTGGAGGGGACGGGAGGGAGGAGGCGGGGTGGGAGAGGGGAGAGAGTGACGAGCCTTTTGAAGCACTTCGAAAGTGGCCGTCCATGGCATGAAGCTGGCATGCAGCAGGTTGTAGCAAAGATTGCTGTGGAGGGGGGAGGGGAGGGAGGAGATGGGGAGGGGGGGAGGAGGAGAAGAGGAGGCACCTTTGAAATGCCTCAGAAGCTGGTGCGGAGCACGTTGTAGCCGAGGGGGGAGGAGAGTGGACACGCCACGTGAGTGAGAGAGACGGAGAATGGGTGAGAGGGAAATGCGCAGAGGGCGTGGTGTGGTTTGGGTGGACCCAAAACACATATGCGTGCGCATGAGTGGGGTCGGAAGAAAACGTTTTGAGACACCTCAAAACTCGTTTCTGAGACGCCTAAAAACTCGATTCTGAGACGCCTAAAAACTCGATTCTGAGGCGTCTCAAGACCCAATTCTGAGGCGTCTCAATACACAGATGCATGCACAGCAGTGGGGTTGGAAGAAAATGGAAGGCTGAGGGTAACGACGGGCGAGGGTAAGGGAAGGCCGAGAGCAAGGGAGGTGCGAGGTGAGGACAAGGGAGGTGCGAGGTGAGGACAAGGGAGGTGCGAGGTGAGGACAAGGGAGGTGCGAGGACAAGGGAGATGTGAGGTGAGGACAAGGGAGGTGTGAGGACAAGGGAGGTGTGAGGACAAGGGAGGTGCGAGGTGAGGACAAGGGAGGTGCGAGGTGAGGACAAGGGAGGTGCGAGGTGAGGACAAGGGAGGTGCGAGGTGAGGACAAGGGAGATGCGAGGTGAGGACAAGGGAGGTGCGAGGTGAGGACAAGGGAGGTGTGAGGTGAGGACAAGGGAGGTGTGAGGACAAGGGAGGTGTGAGGACAAGGGAGGTGTGAGGACAAGGGAGGTGTGAGGTGAGGACAAGGGAGGTGTGAGGACAAGGGAGGTGTGAGGACAAGGGAGGTGTGAGGACAAGGGAGGTGTGAGGACAAGGGAGGTGTGAGGACAAGGGAGGTGCGAGGTGAGGACAAGGGAGGTGCGAGGTGAGGACAAGGGAGGTGCGAGGTGAGGACAAGGGATTGCGAGGTGAGGACAAGGGAGGTGCGAGGTGAGGACAAGGGAGGTGCGAGGTGAGGACAAGGGAGGTGCGAGGTGAGGACAAGGGAGGTGCGAGGTGAGGACAAGGGAGGTGCGAGGTGAGGACAAGGGAGGTGCGAGGTGAGGACAAGGGAGGTGTGAGGTGAGGACAAGGGAGGTGTGAGGACAAGGGAGGTGTGAGGACAAGGGAGGTGTGAGGACAAGGGAGGTGTGAGGTGAGGACAAGGGAGGTGTGAGGACAAGGCAGGTGTGAGGACAAGGGAGGTGTGAGGACAAGGGAGGTGTGAGGACAAGGGAGGTGCGAGGTGAGGACAAGGGAGGTGTGAGGACAAGGGAGGTGTGAGGACAAGGGAGGTGCGAGGTGAGGACAAGGGAGGTGTGAGGACAAGGGAGGTGTGAGGACAAGGGAGGTGCGAGGTGAGGACAAGGGAGGTGTGAGGACAAGGGAGGTGTGAGGACAAGGGAGGTGCGAGGTGAGGACAAGGGAGGTGTGAGGACAAGGGAGGTGTGAGGACAAGGGAGGTGCGAGGTGAGGACAAGGGAGGTGTGAGGACAAGGGAGGTGTGAGGACAAGGGAGGTGCGAGGTGAGGACAAGGGAGGTGTGAGGACAAGGGAGGTGTGAGGACAAGGGAGGTGCGAGGTGAGGACAAGGGAGGTGTGAGGACAAGGGAGGTGTGAGGACAAGGGAGGTGTGAGGTGAGGACAAGGGAGGTGTGAGGACAAGGGAGGTGTGAGGACAAGGGAGGTGTGAGGACAAGGGAGGTGTGAGGACAAGGGAGGTGTGAGGACAAGGGAGGTGCGAGGTGAGGACAAGGGAGGTGCGAGGTGAGGACAAGGGAGGTGCGAGGTGAGGACAAGGGATTGCGAGGTGAGGACAAGGGAGGTGCGAGGTGAGGACAAGGGAGGTGCGAGGTGAGGACAAGGGAGGTGCGAGGTGAGGACAAGGGAGGTGCGAGGTGAGGACAAGGGAGGTGCGAGGTGAGGACAAGGGAGGTGCGAGGTGAGGACAAGGGAGGTGTGAGGTGAGGACAAGGGAGGTGTGAGGACAAGGGAGGTGTGAGGACAAGGGAGGTGTGAGGACAAGGGAGGTGTGAGGTGAGGACAAGGGAGGTGTGAGGACAAGGCAGGTGTGAGGACAAGGGAGGTGTGAGGACAAGGGAGGTGTGAGGACAAGGGAGGTGCGAGGTGAGGACAAGGGAGGTGTGAGGACAAGGGAGGTGTGAGGACAAGGGAGGTGCGAGGTGAGGACAAGGGAGGTGTGAGGACAAGGGAGGTGTGAGGACAAGGGAGGTGCGAGGTGAGGACAAGGGAGGTGTGAGGACAAGGGAGGTGTGAGGACAAGGGAGGTGCGAGGTGAGGACAAGGGAGGTGTGAGGACAAGGGAGGTGCGAGGTGAGGACAAGGGAGGTGTGAGGACAAGGGAGGTGTGAGGACAAGGGAGGTGCGAGGTGAGGACAAGGGAGGTGTGAGGACAAGGGAGGTGCGAGGTGAGGACAAGGGAGGTGTGAGGACAAGGGAGGTGTGAGGTGAGGACAAGGGAGGTGTGAGGACAAGGGAGGTGTGAGGACAAGGGAGGTGCGAGGTGAGGACAAGGGAGGTGCGAGGTGAGGACAAGGGAGGTGCGAGGTGAGGACAAGGGAGGTGCGAGGTGAGGACAAGGGAGGTGCGAGGTGAGGACAAGGGAGGTGTGAGGTGAGGACAAGGGAGGTGTGAGGACAAGGGAGGTGTGAGGACAAGGGAGGTGTGATAGTAATAGAACTAATGGTAGTATATGCGCGCTCATATTGGTTGTTGGGCGAAGCTTTATCGCCTAAATATATGGTCGTGAATTATATGACCGTGCGTGATTGGACGCGCATTGCCAAAAAGGGCAAGAAACATATTATCGACCAATCGTGCGCGGTCAATAATATGTTCGTGCATTTATGCTCTGGCGTTGCAGTTTATGATCGCTGATGTAATTGCCCGCGCGCTCATTGGTCGCGCATTGGGCCGAAAATGACCGCGCATCTACTGTTGTGCGAACGAGGAATTTCGTGGGTACGAACACTTGTAGGGTTATGTGCCAGGGAAAAAAAACACATCGAAAATGCCCTGGCATGGCCACTCGAGCAATTATCACTGAATTGGATGGCCACTCGAGCAATTCGGGGACACGCGGGCAAGAGCGAATCACCAAACAAGGCACTGGAGCAATTCTCTCAACAACCATTCTTGCCAACAGCATCCTACAGCACATTCCTGACCAACTGCTTCCTCTCTCCTTTCTCTCCTTCACCGCATGCACCAATTTTTCCCATGTGCCGTGCTGTGCACACACACACTCTTCTTGCAGATGCAAAGCGTTGAACAGCACCACCCAGGGCGATCCCCATCATCAAGGCCGGGGACGTCGAGATGTGGAAACGCCACTACTACACCAAAACTGCGATAATTCCACACCCCTTATCTCACGACCAGGGATAGCCACCCTCATTTAGTCTGATTTTGAGAGTGGTTCACAACATTATTTGAATTATAGAGGTTACACTCACGCAATCCCGTGGCGAGATTTCCCGAAGTACAAGCATGATGTGGAGATTTTTTCCTCTCAATCTGACTGTAAAGTGTGGGTTTCGTGAGGCTGGACGTTCCTGTAATTTGATTATAGACCCATATTTTCAGGGTGCCCGTGTCTTCGAACCGAAAACTATTTAGGGTCTCTGGCTAGGGAAGTGTACGGGGTGTGGAATTATCGCAGTTTCGGTGTACCGTGCACCTTCTTTCCCTAGTCGACCCCATTCACCCCACTGTCGTCGCGTGACTGGTCAGTCACCAGTCCCTCCCTCCCTCACCCGCATCCCCATGATTTGACCTTCGCCCGCCTCGTTTCAATCATTCGCCCCTTTCGCCTCCCTCGCGTTGCTTCGCCTCTCTCGCACAGACACACACTCTCACCTGACCTGCCCTGCCACTTTTTCCATCCTCCCTCCAAACCGCTGCTGCCTTGTGTACACGCAAACGGTGGATGGGGCACCGTCAACCATGCCGTTCGTGGCGATATACTGTATGACGAGCTCCGTGCATCGGGCTTCGAGGCAGGGAGGCGATTACCACTCTGGTTTCGCCAAGAGACGAAAAGGAACGAAACTACACCCTGTTTCTCGCCATAGTGGATTCCGGTGTAGTGAAGTCAAGATGAGAAAATCATGGTTAAAGGTGGTTATATTACGTTTCGGTATGGTTCAATTAGGCAAATATAATAAAACAAGTGCTGCAATCCAGTTCCTCACAGTTCAGTGTAGCGAGAAACAGGGTGTACAGCACAGGCCCGAGCGCATCGTTGTCTGTCACCGTAACCAGAAAACACTGACAGTGTGGTGAGGCACGGCAGAAGAACCTTTTCAAGACGGCGACATTTTCATATTTAGTCGCCACCAACCTGACCAGTTATGTGTTTTCCCCCCTGCCCCGCACTTTCGTACAGTATGTCAGGCCATGCAACGACACACCTGACCAATCAAGGACGTGACCGACTGATACACTGTACACTGTAGCGATGCTCGACATCTGTGCAACGTGGCAACTGGCAGCAGAACATCAACCCTGGTCCCTGACGGAGAACGTCAACGTGACCGCCTCCTGCTTCGCAGTTGTGGTTCCCAGTGTTGTTTTCGTTTAGCTCTCAGCTCGTCCCTCCAGCTTCTGTAGTCCATCAGCCCCCCCCTCGATACTCACCCAAATCTTGTGAATCACACTTGAAATTCATTCGTTTAGTTAAGTGTGCATTGCGAAGTGCAATCGAACCAGACACTACAGACCAGAAGTGCTTCGCATTGGACATTCTGGACTGGAAGCTCGTTTCGGTCCTTCCACCATGTTTTCGAGTTAGCACACTGGTGCACCAACTAAGTAGCGTCATAAGAATGACACATATTTCTACTCTCTGGTATCGTACAATTCAACACCGCTTCGGTCAGGAGCTCTGAGACCCCACATATTGTTATGCACTTTACCAGACGCATCCGACCAAGCGGTGGACCTGGTTCAGTCTCACGTAGCCATTAGATTTCTCCCTAGCAGTTAGTCCGTCCTTGCATCGGAATAGCCTTCACGACTTGTCGTCGCAAGCGCAATGCGACCACTGCGACTCTCGCTGCGAAATCGCGGCGTCGCGTCGGCTTTCGTCGCGTCGCCGGCGAGCCCGGTGCTGGCGGCAGCATGCCTCTTCGCAGCGGCATTTCTCTGGGCCACTAGCGCTCGCGCGCAGGGAGTCGCGGTGGACTCGGCCGACTGTGAGTCGCCCCGTCCATCGGCGTAGCCAAGTCTACTAAGCGAAAATAGGGGGTGCTCCGAGACTCGCGCGCAAGGAATCGCGGTTGACTCGTCCGACTGTTAGTCCACATCGTACATGCGGCATAGCTTTCTAGTCCGGGTAAAGGAAAGAAAGAAAGAGAGAAGAAAGAACAAACTAGGGCTGTCTCAAAGCTCGCGCGCAGAACCACGAATGCACTCGGTCGACTGTGAACCCACGTCGTCCGCTGCACTCTTCCAAAGACTGCGAGCCAACCCCCTTCCCCACGCCTTGCCGGTTGAATCCGGTTGAATCCTCCGTTCGGACATGCCTCCGCTCATGCCTCGATTGAAGGCTTTTGAAGCGCCGCAGCAGGTGCTCACGAGGAGAGGAACCCCAAGGCGTACTGGACGGGCGGCCTGTCGTTCCCTTCAACCGTGGGCTCTTTCTGTCCCTCCCTCCTCTCTCTGTGTCCTCCCCCTCCTCTCCCCACTCTTGCTTGCAGGGACGACGCTGGTGGCGGTGAGGGATGGCATGTCGTTCCTGGTACCCACTAGGAGTCCCAAGGCGTACTGAACGGCCCCTGACTGCTCTCCCTTCCCTTGAGCCGCGACCTCTCTCTGTGCCCCCCTCGCCCCACACACAGGGACGACGCTAGTGGCGCTGCGGGACGGCATGTCGTTTCTGGTACCCACTAGGAGTCCCAAGGTCTACTGGACGGCCCCGGACAGCTGCGACAGCCTGTTTGGCATCATGTGCGACGGGGACGGCAACGTCGTCTCCCTGTGAGTTCTTCTCTCTCTAAGGCAACCGTGTGCAATCGTGAGTACGAGTGTGTGACGCGTGATGGTTGCCTGAGCGCTGGGAGCCGCAACAGCCTGTTTGGCATCATGTGCGATGGGGACGGCAACATCGTCTCCCTGTGAGCCCCCTTCTCTCTAAGGGAGCCATGTGCGAGGGTGAGTACGAGCGAGTGACGAGTGGTAGTTGCCTGAGTGCTGGTGGGAGCTGTAACAGCCTGTTTGGCGTCATGTGCGACAGGGACGGCAACGTCGTTTCTCTGTGAGTCCCGTCAAGTCAACGAATCAGCCCTCCATGTGTGAGTGTGAGTGTCTGACGCGTGATGGTTGCGTGAGTGCTGGGAGCTGCGATGCGACAGCCTGTTTGGCATCATGTGTGACGGGGACAGCAACGTCGTTTCCCTGTGAGTCCCCTTCTCTTTAGGTGATGGCTGAGTGAGTGACTACGTATCACGTGATAAACCCAGGATAGCATTGCAAGAAACCCGTGTCTGTGCTGCATTGTGTTGTGCTCCGCGCTCTGCTCTGCTCCCAAAGACAACTATTCATTCACCTTGAAATTCCTGTCCGCCCTCCGCCCTTCCCGCTCTGCGTTCCTGGTCGTGCTGTGCTGTGCTGTGCGGTGCGGTGCGGTGCGGTGCTGCTCTGTGCGGTGCTTGGCTGTGCTGCTGCTAGGGTGATGACAGGAGCCAATGGGCCGCTGCCAGCTGTCATCGGGAATTTTCCCTACCTCTATTCGCTGTAACAACCCTTCTCGTCCCTACCTCCTTTCCCCACCTTGCTTACCCAAACCCCCGCTCTGCTTTCCTCTGCTCTCTCCCCCTTCCCTTCCCTCCTGACCTCCCTCAACCTTCCCCACCCCCACTTCTTCCTCCCCCTTAGCTCACCTTCGTTCCCCCACTCACTCTTCCTCTCCCCCCTGTTCCCACCCACTCCGCACATCTCTCACCGCTCCGAGGCATTTTTCATGTGTCTCATGTGCCCCATGTGCCCCATGTGTTCCCATGTGTTCCCATGTGCCCCATGTGTTCCCATGTGTTCCCATGTGTTCCCATGTGTTCCCATGTGTTCCCATGTGCCCCATGTGTTCCCATGTGTTCCCATGTGTTCCCATGTGCCCCATGTGTTCCCATGTGTTCCCATGTGTTCCCATGTGTTCCCTTGTGCCCCATGTGTTCCCATATGTTCCCATGTGTTCCCATGTGTTCCCATGTGCCCCATGTGTTCCCATGTGCCCCATGTGCTGTGCCCCATGCGCCCCATGTGTCTCATGTGCCCCATGTGCCTCTCATCTACTCTACACCTGCCTCATACCCCATCCCTCTCGTCTCGCCTCACCACTACCACCTTCACTCTGTCTTTTTTCCCGCTTCCTCTCGCCCCTCTTCCCGCTCTCCTATCCCCTCCCTCCCCTCTCGCCTCTCCCTCTCAACCCCCCAGATCTATCTCAGGGAATCTCACCTCCCTGCCTGTTGAACTCAGCAGCCTCTCCCTGCTCACCGTGCTGTAAGCCTCTCTCCCTCCTCACCGTGCTGTAAGCCTCTCTCCCTGCTCACCGTGCTGTAAGCCTCTCTCCCTGCTTACCCTGCTGTAAGCTAACTTCCCTTGTTGTATCTCGAGCCTTGAAGCCTTATTTTTGTACCCCTCGTTGCCTTGCTGTGCCTTGTAGCTATCTCTTTACTCAACGTCCTTCTCTCATCCAATTCCATCCATCCATCCATCCATCCATCCATCCATCCATCCATCCATCCATCCATCCATCCATCCATCCATCCATCCATCCATCCATCCATCCATCCATCCATCCATCCATCCATCCATCCATCCATCCATCCACCTTCCCATGCCCCCATCACACTCCCTCTCTCTCATCACCCTCCCATCGTCCACTCGCAGGCACCTGTCTCGGAACAAGATAACGGGCCCTTTCCCAGCGTCCATCCTTGCTCTCAGGAAGCTCAGATCACTGTACGTCTGTGTGGTGACTCTGTCTATGTCTGTAGTGTTTGTGAGACTTTTTCTTAGAATCCTCAGCAACTGGCACTTTCCCAGCGTCGATCCTCGCTCTCAAGAAGCTCAGATCACTGTGCGTCTGTGTGAGACACGCATCTTGTCACTTTCGAGAATTCTCAAAAGTGATTTCCATATTCTGTCATGGGAGACTTTCCACCCCAGCCCATTGCGACCATAACTGGCATCTTGACATGTCATCGGTGCAGTCTCCCATGCGCCCATCACCCTCCCACGTCTCCAGCTACTGACCTGGTGCAATCCCTCTCTCCTGCCACTGTCCTCTTTCCACCCCATCCTGTTGCCCACACCCATCGCCCACTCCCTTTGTCCACTCTCATTGTGCCTTCCCTTCCGTGGTTACACGAAACCAATCTTCTAAGCACACCCTCCCATGGCCCCATCACCCTCCATGCCCCCGTTACCCTGTCGCAGCAACCTAGAGTTGAACCAGCTGTCTGGCAGCCTTCCCTCCGGCATATCCGCTCTCTCCTCCCTCAGTGACCTGTGAGTCACGCACTGTGCTGCTGTTGGCACTGCACTGCACTGCACTGCACTGGATGCATGCTCGCATGCATTGGTTGTGAGTGGCCATGCAACCATGATGCATGCTCGCATGCATTGGTTGTGAGTGGCCATGCAACCATGATGCGCGCTTTGCAATGCGCTGGCCAGGAATCGACCCCGATCCGATCCATCCCTTCCACCCAACCACCGTGCATGGCATGGCATGGCATGGCATGGCAGGCGGCTGGACTCCAACCAATTCACCGGATCGATCCCCGCGACCATTGGCAAACTCACCAACCTCACTCTCCTGTACGCCCCTCCCTCACTCTCCTGTACGTCCCTCCCCCACTCTCCTGCACGTCCCTCCCCCAGTATCCTCCCTCGCCTCTAAATCCCTCCCTCGCCACCGTCACTCTCATGTTGTATAACCCGTGCTTCTTAACTAGCCTCAATCTCATGTGTGACCTTTTCATGTCCCACACACGTATTCACATGCGTGCTATATGACCATCTCACGTACTATCCACCATCCATGAGCACGCGATTTTTGGGGCGCCTCAAAATGCGTCTCATTACCCGTACCAGCCATCCACCATCACTACCTGACTAACCGCACCGCACATACTCATGCTACTGCTACTGCGACATGAGACTTCCTCCCTCCCTCCCATTCGCCTTAATGCACATTCGCCTGTTTCGTTCCTTCTCCTCCTGTTCAGGTGAATGGCGCCCTTCCTGCTTCACCTTATCACATACTACCACCCCTCTCGCCCCTCCGCCCTTCTCCCCTCTCCGCAGGTCGCTCTCGTCCAATCAGGTGACGGGCGCCATTCCATTTGCTTTGTTCCTGCTCCTCCTGATCTCACTTCTCTTTTGCTTGCTTCTATCACATACCCCCTTCGCCCCTCCACCCTTCTCCCCTCTCCTCAGGTCGTGTACGTCGAACCAAGTGACGGGCGCCATTCCACCTGCCATTTCGACCCTCTGTAATCTAAACCATCACTGTTCCTCCCCTCTGCTCTCCCCCTCTCCCCTCTCCTCAGGTCGATTGCGTCCAATCAGGTGACGGGCGCCATTCCACCTGCCATTTCAACCCTCAAGTCATTGAGAACCCTGTGAGGCGTGAGGCAGGGAGGAGAGATGGACGGGAGGAGAGAGGGATGGGAGGAGAGGGGGATGGGAGGAGAGAGGGGAGAGGAGAGGGATGGGAGGAGAGAGGGATGGGAGGAGAGAGGGATGGGAGGAGAGAGGGATGGGAGGGATGGGAGGAGAGAAGGATGGGAGGAGCGAAGGAAGGGAGGAGAGAGGGATGTGAGGAGACAAGGATGGGAGAGAAGAGAGGGATGGGAAGAGAGGGGGATGGGAGGAGAGAGGGATGGGAGGAGAGATGGATGGGGGGAGAGATGGATGAGAGGAAGCAGTTTTCCCGGCAGCAATCTCTCCTTCACCCCCTTTGTTCCCCTCTCCCCACTCATGACATGCCATGGCAGCAATCTGCTTTTTAGTTGAGTCGCCTATAACATTGTCCCCTCCCCCCGTTCGTGACATGCCACGCCAGAAATATGCAGCGCAACAAGCTAACAGGCAGCATCCCCTCGCAAACCAGCACTCTTACCCTCCTGCAACGCCTGTACGTCTCAACTCCCCTGGTTTCCCCTTCACTTTACCCTGGTAACCCTAGTAACCGTCTTCTTTAACCCTAGTGCCCTCTTGACTAACCCTTGTAATCCTAGTAACCCTCCTCTCTAACCCAAGTGTCCTTGTCAGAATACTGAACGAGAATCAATGCATTGAACAGAAATTGGGTACAAGTACTAAGCCTAATTGGTTGTACCCCTTATGGGCTACCCCACTATAGCCTACACAATATAAGCTATACAATATTTTGACACACCCCCATAGGCAAAGTGGAGGAGAACAAGTGGTCACAAGACCAGTCAAAAAAAGCAAAGCAAGCTCAGGGTGGATCACAAAGTCACCACACAGTCCGAGCACAAGCAAAGGGTCACAAGGCCAGTTCACATGCAGAGTTATATAAAAGAGAAAAAACAATACAGTGATCATACCCTAGCAAGTACCAGCATGCAGGTATATATATAGATCACAGTACAAGCAGAGTCAAGCAGTGAGCAAATGAGGCAAAGTAGGCACAAGGCCTAACACAGTAGAGAAGCGCTGATGATCACCAGGCGGAAGTGCCTTGGTGAATATATCAGCAGTGTTGGCCTGAGAGGCCACGTACGCAAGACGAAGCTGGCCACGCTGCTGCAACTCTCGAGCAAGGAAGTAACGCAGAGCGATGTGCTTCGTTCTGTGCTCAAGTCTGTGCTCCTGACACAAGGCAATCATGGCATTGTTGTCTACGTACAGAACTGGAGGCGAACGAGGTTGCTCTCCCAAGTCAGTCAACAGGTAGGTGAGCCAGCGTAGCTCCTGTGCAGCCATGGCCCCTGCGTAGATCTCAGCCTCATAACTGGAGCTGAGAACCGAAGACGAGCGGGTAGACTGCCAGGACACAGAGCCGGAACCGAGGCTGAAGGCGTAACCCTGTGACGACCGCTGCGTAGCTAAGTCGTCAACCCAAGAAGCGATTGCGTGACCAGTGAGGACAACTGGACCCCGTCCTCCAAGCACGAGCCCCATGCCCGACGTACTGCACAAATAACGCAATACCCTCTTCACAGCATCCCGGTGCACCTTTCGGTGCCTGTCGAGAGCCACGTAGCGAGCCAGGAGGCTGAGAGGGTACGCGAGGTCAGGTCGTGTGCACGTCATCAGGTACATGAGGCAACCCACAAGCTCTGGGTACGGACCACTCGGCTCTACGGACTCGTCCGAAGGTGGAGCTGAGAGCGAGTGGCCGGTAGACAGAGGAGTGGGCTGTGGCGAGGAGAACTGGAAGTCGAAGCGCTGAAGGACCTGGTGCACCATGTGTGACTGAGTCCGTGTGATGGTGCGCCGTGCTCTGTCCCGGGTGATCAACAGTCCAAGATAGCTGCGCAGTTCACCCAGGTCAGTGCAGGTGTGTCTCTTCTGCAGCTTTGAGTTCACAAGGGTCAGTGCCTCAGTGTCAGCAGTGGCAAAGACGAGGTCGTCGACGTACACGAGGACGTAGAACGGCGGCAACGAGGTGTCGGTGCGTAGAAACAGCGACGGGTCAGCAGCAGAAAGAGTAAACCCAAGAGCCGCAAGTGTAGTCCTCAGTGTGTCGTGCCACTCGCGAGGCACCTGGCGAAGACCGTAGACTGGCCGCCGGAGGCTCCACCGGGTACCTGCAAGAAATGACCCAGTGAAGCCAGGTGGGCGGCGCAGCCAGATCTCCTCGTGCAGGCTGCCCTGCAAGAAAGCTGTACTAAAGTCCAGAGGGTGCAACTCGTAGTCACGCTGAGCAGCGCTAAGCAGCGACGTGAAGCAACACCCGAAGAGTAGTCATCTTCGGGGTGGGAGAGAAGATCTGAAAGTGGTCGACCCCCTGTTGCTGACTGAAGCCTCGAGCAACGTAACGCGTCTTGAAGGCAGGCGGAGAACCCGACGGTCGCTTCACCCTGAAAATCCACATGTCATCGACAATGTTCGCCCCAGGTGGGGGAACCTCATCGATGTAGGTGCCTGTGGACTTCCAGGATGCCATCTCGGCATCCATGGCTGTCTGCCACTGAGAAGAGTAAGGACCCGTAATCGCCTCTGCGTAAGAGCGTGTGGTCGGGATGTCTGGTGCATCCGGGTCTCCCTCAGGGGCAAGCAGCATGGAAGCGAAACGAGGTACAGCAGCTGCAAGACACTCAAAGTCCTCCTTCTTGTCCTCAAAGACGTCCGTGCCAAGAGCACACTCACCCCCGACGGACAGAGGACTGACAGACTCAGACTCAGCAACAAAAGCAGTGACGTAGTCTAGACGACAGGCAGCAACAAAGTCAAGCAGCTGAGCAACGAGGGCAGACGCAGTAGCAGACTCAAAAGAAGGGTCAGTGACAGCAGTGGCGAATAGACGAGAGACAGTGGGACTGGCAGCACGAGCGCGGTCAGACTCAGGGTCAAGGACCTCAGGAAGAGAGGACTCAGGAGGTGCAGGCAAAGGAACACGCAGTGGAACAGAGGAAGGACGAAGTGTCATAGTGTGCGTGCCGGGGACAGGAGGAGGACGCGAACGAGGAACGCGACGAGCAGTGCGAACAGGGGAGGCAGGACGAGACGCAGGCTCACGACGCTCTGTAAAACCGCCGGACTGCTCAGTGTAAGGAGAAGGAGCAGGCAGTGGGGAGGCTGGCTGTAACAGCAGCTGCGACTGGTCAGGCAGTGGACACAGGAGAGGAGGAGTAAGGCTAGTAGAAGACGGGACACCAAGAACCTGCTGAAGCAGGGGAACGAAGTACGGTCGCGGCCGCACAGTGCCTCCAAGGTCAACAGCTCCAGCTCCTCCAGCTCCAGCGCCTCCCGCGCCAGTGCCTCCAACTCCAGCTCCTCCAGCTCCAGCGCCTCCAGCGTCAGTGCCACCAGCTCCAGCGCCTCCCGCGCCAGTGCCTCCAACTCCAGCTCCTCCAGCTCCAGCGCCCTCAGCGCCAGTGCCATAAGCTCCAGCTCCTCCAGCTCCAGCGCCACCAGCGCCAGAGCCTCAGCTCCAGCAGCTCCAGGCTCCGTAGGGTCTCCAGCTCCAGCGCCCCCAACACCACCAGTCCCGGCAGCTCTTGTACCTCCAGCTCCAGCGGCTCCAGCTCCGGTAGCTCCACTCCGATGGCGTGCGCGCCGAACAAGCCACTCACGCAGCTGCTGCGGAGACAGTCTCGGCGAAGCACCAGCAGGACCTCCAGACGAAGCAGCACCTCGAGGCTCAGCACCCCTTGACTCCGCACCCTACGACTCAGCACCCCCAGGCTCCTCACCCCAAGGCTCAGCACCCCCATACCCAGCACCCTGAGACTCCGCAACCCCCGGCTCCGCACCCCCAGACGCAGCACCCCCAGACGCAGCACCTCGAGCAGCACCTGAGCCGATAGCTACCTCAATAGGCTTAGTATCAGGGAGAGCGTCTACGTGAGACACACCTGAGGGAGCAGGACCGTGGGGGGGGAGGGGGTCTATCGGAAGGGGACCTGGAGCAAGTAAGAGCGGCGAGGGTGGGGGAGGGGCAGAGCGGTCCTAGCGGAGGACCTGCTCTGAAACCATGTCAGAATACTGAACGAGAATCAATGCATTGAACAAAAATTGGGTACAAGTACTAACCCTTATTGGGTTGTACCCCTTATGAGCTACCCCGCTATAGCTTACACAATATAAGCTATACAACATTTTGACAGTCCTTCTTTTCTCACCCTCCCCCTTCTTCTCTAAATCAGTCTACTACCCTAGCACCCCTCCACCACAGCACCCCTCTGGTTTCTGAAACGCCTCAAACGCCCTTCGCCCACCGCAAATCCCCCCACAGGTACCTCAATCGCAACACGCTCTCAGGCTCCCTCCCTGCAACACTCAAGTCCCTCACGGCCCTGCGCATGCTGTAAGCCCCTCCCAACCTTTCCCCTCTCCTCCCCTCCCCTCCCCTCCCCTCCCCTCCCCTCCCCTCCCCTCCCCTCCCCTCCCCTCCCCTCCCCTCCCCTCCCTTCCCCGCCCCTCCCCTCCCCGCCCCTCCCCTCCCCGCCCCTCCCCTCCCCGCCCCTCCCCTCCCTGCCCCTCCCCTCCCTGCCCCTCCACTCTTCTCCAATCCCGTCCCCTCCCATCCCCTTCCAACTCCCCCTATCCCCCTTCTCCCGCGTCCCCCCTCTCCCATCCCCCCTTCCCCCCCATTCTCTCGCCCCCCATCCGCCATTCCAACTCACCCCCCAAACTCCTCCTCACCCATCCACTACAACAGCACCACCCGCTCTCTCCCTGCTGTCATTAACGCCCTACCCCCTCTTCCTCATCCCACCATCCCAGTCCCCCTGTCCCCCCATCCACCCTTCCAACCCCCCCGATCGGCCCTCAGCCTCACCGACTACAGTAGCATCATCACCGGCTCGCTCCCTGCTTCCATCGGGGCCCTGCCCTCTCTTCCCCTCCATTCCCCCTACCAACTCCTCCATCCCCCCTTAACCCCCCATTCCCGCTCTCCCTATCCCGCCTTCCAAACCCCCTTACCCACCTCCAACCTCTTCGACTACAGCAGCATCAGCGGCTCTCTCCCTGCCTCCATAGGGGCCCTGCCCTCTCTTCCAAATCCCCCTTTCTTTCCCCCTATCCCCCCTTCCAACTCCCCCATTCGCCCCTCAGTCTCTTCGACTACAACGCCTTCTCCGGAACCCTCCCTGCCTCCATAGGCGCCCTGCCCTCGCTCGTCTACCTGTACGCTCTAATCCAACTACCTGCCTTCTCTTCCTCATTCAACTGACTCGCCTTTTATCCTAAACCTGTGCTGCCTCATCTCACTCCCTCCCTTCCGCCACTTCAACCCCACTGCCTTGCTCCCATTGTCTCCCTCCCTCACATCACTACCACCACCACCACCATCACCACCACCACCATCACCATCACCATCACCATCACCACCACCAGGAGTGGCAGGAACAACAAGCTGCCTGGTGCCATGCCTTGCCCACATTCCCCTCATAGACCTACCTTGCATCCCCTCACTCTCTCCCTTCCACTGTCCCTTGAGAATTCTCAAAAAACACACCTGCCTTGCATCCTCCCACTCTCTCCCTTCCACTGTCCCTTGAGAATTCTAAAAAAACACACCTGCCTTGCATCCTCTCACTCTCTCCCTTCCGCTGTCCCTTGAGAATTCTAAAAAAACACACCTGCCTTGCATCCTCTCACTCTCTCCCTTCCACTGTCCCTTGAGAATTCTAAAAAAACACACCTGCCTTGCATCCTCTCACTCTCTCCCTTCCACTGTCCCTTGAGAATTCTCAAAAAACACACCTGCCTTGCATCCTCTCACTCTCTCCCTTCCACTGTCCCTTGAGAATTCTAAAAAAACACACCTGCCTTGCATCCTCTCACTCTCTCCCTTCCACTGTCCCTTGAAAATTCTCAAAAACACACCTGCCTTGCATCCTCTCACTCTCTCCCTTCCACTGTCCCTTGAGAATTCTCAAAAAACACACCTGCATTGCATTCTCTCACTCTCTCCCTTCCACTGTCGCTTGAGAATTCTAAAAAAACACACCTGCCTTGCATCCTCTCACTCTCTCCCTTCCACTGTCCCTTGAGAATTCTCAAAAAACACACCTGCCTTGCATCCTCTCACTCTCTCCCTTCCACTGTCCCTTGAGAATTCTCAAAAAACACACCTGCATTGCATCCTCTCACTCTCTCCCTTCCACTGTCGCTTGAGAATTCTAAAAAAACACACCTGCCTTGCATCCTCTCACTCTCTCCCTTCCACTGTCCCTTGAGAATTCTCAAAAAACACACCTGCCTTGCATCCTCTCACTCTCTCCCTTCCACTGTCCCTTGAGAATTCTCAAAAAACACAACTGCCTTGCATCCTCTCACTCTCTCCCTTCCACTGTCCCTTGAGAATTCTCAAAAAACACACCTGCCTTGCATCCTCTCACTCTCTCCCTTCCACTGTCCCTTGAGAATTCTCAAAAAACACACCTGCCTTGCATCTTCTCACTCTCTCCCTTCCACTGTCCCTTGAGAATTCTAAAAAAACACACCTGCCTTGCATCCTCTCACTCTCTCCCTCCACTGTCCCTTGAGAATTCTCAAAAAACACACCTGCCTTGCATCCTCTCACTCTCTCCCTTCCACTGTCCCTTGAGAATTCTCAAAAAACACACCTGCCGTGCATCCTCTCACTCTCTCCCTTCCACTGTCCCTTGAGAATTCTCAAAAAACACACCTGCCTTGCATCCTCTCACTCTCTCCCTTCCACTGTCCCTTGAGAATTCTCAAAAAACACACCTGCCTTGCATCCTCTCACTCTCTCCCTTCCACTGTCCCTTGAGAATTCTCAAAAAACACACCTGCATTGCATCCTCTCACTCTCTCCCTTCCACTGTCGCTTGAGAATTCTAAAAAAACACACCTGCCTTGCATCCTCTCACTCTCTCCCTTCCACTGTCCCTTGAGAATTCTCAAAAAACACACCTGCCTTGCATCCTCTCACTCTCTCCCTTCCACTGTCCCTTGAGAATTCTCAAAAAACACAACTGCCTTGCATCCTCTCACTCTCTCCCTTCCACTGTCCCTTGAGAATTCTCAAAAAACACACCTGCCTTGCATCCTCTCACTCTCTCCCTTCCACTGTCCCTTGAGAATTCTCAAAAAACACACCTGCCTTGCATCTTCTCACTCTCTCCCTTCCACTGTCCCTTGAGAATTCTAAAAAAACACACCTGCCTTGCATCCTCTCACTCTCTCCCTTCCACTGTCCCTTGAGAATTCTCAAAAAACACACCTGCCGTGCATCCTCTCACTCTCTCCCTTCCACTGTCCCTTGAGAATTCTCAAAAAACACACCTGCCTTGCATCCTCTCACTCTCTCCCTTCCACTGTCCCTTGAGAATTCTAAAAAAACACACCTGCCTTGCATCCTCTCACTCTCTCCCTTCCACTGTCCCTTGAGAATTCCCAAAAAACACACCTGCCTTGCATCCTCTCACTCTCTCCCTTCCACTGTCGCTTGAGAATTCTAAAAAAACACACCTGCCTTGCATCCTCTCACTCTCTCCCTTCCACTGTCCCTTGAGAATTCTCAAAAAACACACCTGCCTTGCATCCTCTCACTCTCTCCCTTCCACTGTCCCTTGAGAATTCTCAAAAAACACACCTGCCTTGCATCTTCTCACTCTCTCCCTTCCACTATCC